GCGTGTCTGCCGGCCCTGCTAATCCGCGTGCGCGTGCGCGTGTGGCAGGTGCGCGAGGGACTGGCGCCGTGGGTCACGTGGTGCACGGTGGCGCGTCGGACGACAGCGGCGGCTCTGCGAGCGCAACGCAAGCGACCACACGGCGGTGGCGACGCCCGAGGCGGCGGCGCGGGGGGAACGGCGCAGGGGCCGCCGGCGCGCACGTCACCTACACGCTGACGGCGTCGTCGCCGGCGCGGCGGGCGTGTTCGACATCGACCCGCAGCTCGGGAGCGCTGGGTGGTGGCGCGCCAGCTGGGGACCGCGAGAACGCGCGCCGATACCGGCTGGAGGTGCGCGCGCTCGACACGTCCGCGTCCAACACCCGCCATCGCGGCGGGTGTCGGTTGCGCGTGGACGTGGCGGACGTGACGACAACTGCGCCCCGCTTGGCCAGGGGGCGGAAACCCCGGTTTTGCTGGTGCCGCTGGCCGAGGACACGCCCGTCGGCCCGGTACACCCTCAACGTGACCGCCAGCGACCACGGCCGCCCCGCGCCGCGCCACACCACGCGCACCCTGCACGTGGTGGTGCAGGGCACCAAGGAGAACCCGCCGCGCTTCGCGCACGCCGTCTACCACGCCAACGTGTCGGAGGACGCGCCCGTCGGCAGCTTCGTGGTGACGGTGGCGGCGCGCTCGCTGCTGGCCGACGCGGGTGAGTCCTGAGTCCAGCCACGGCGCTTGCTCGCGCCCCGCGCGCGCCTGTTGCATGTTGCTTTCCGATTTTGCCGCTTCTCTTTTGCTTTGTGCCTTATCTATCAATCTTTATTCTCTCTACTCCATCTAACCTCTCTTACACGATTTCCCTCTACCTTATCTCACTTCTCTTATGCTTTCTGCCGTATACATTCTGTCTTCTTTCTTGATTTCTGTCATCTTTTTTGGCATCTGCTAATGCATTTTCTCTTCTTCTTCTACTTCTTCCTGACGTTTTTTCCTTTTATAATTTTTCTTTTCCCTTTCTCGCCTGTCTTCAGCCGTCTACCTAAAGTCTTCACTCTTCCACATTCTTCTTTTCCTGACTTCTGAAACCAGTCTTCTCACGTCTATCTTCTGCCTTCGACTTCAGACCTTCTTCCTCCCCTGGGGCCAATTGAAATATATTTGGTGCTCGGTATGAAATACAAAGTGAAATTTTCTTACTCCTTTTTATATTTCAGAAAACGTCTTTACTATGTTAATTATTGATGTGTATTTCTAAATGTAGATGTTGAATGGGCTTCCCGCGTTTGATTTGTGTAATGATTCTGCAATTTTATATTAATTCAAATTTTCGATGATTCTCATACTTGCAACCAAAATATATAACATAGACAAGGGCATTTAATAGGCGAATTTTTGCATGGTATAATGAGAACTAATGGAACTAATGTAAGTGTCGGCTATCAAAACAAAGAGGTAGATAATTAACAAGAAGCGTTATATCGAGGGCGACACGTAGAGAAATTATGACAGGGCGATCGCATTTTACTTAATTTTACTGCATTTAAACGTCTGCTAGTAAGTGCACATGCCATGCGCTTCATTTTATTACATTAGAGCTATGAAAGTCTTCTCGCACAAATAAAGAGAATTTATTTCTTTGACTTCTGAGGCAGGTCGCTGCGCACCATTCTTCTGTGGCACATGTATTTTCTGTTGCTACACGAATAAATTCGTGAGCAGCAGAAATATTTCTCAAAAACCCGAAATCTAGTTTGACTAAAATTATATCATAAGGTTGGAAATATTTCGAATATTGTGAATGTAGGATCATCATCGTCGTCATCATCCTAAAGGCAGAAAAGTGCTGCAGCCGTGACACTGTCCTCCGCTGTCCTCTACATCTCTGCATAGATTTTGAAGTGTAATTCGGTTCGAAACTGTTCTAAGCGAATGTTAGATATATATATTTATTTTAGTGTATTAATTATAAATCTCAACCGTTGTACCAAATCCAAGGCTAACACGAAATAATATAATGGACAATACCTGCAGAAAAAGGTGCATTACTTTCTTGTTATAAAGAAAATCCCTAACGGACTATAGCTCACTCTCAACTTATTATATCCACTTACATGGCTACTCTGAGTGCTGGCCGACTACATGTCTTCATACACCCGCTAGTCTTCTAGTGACAGTAATTTATTGCATCTTCGACACAGTTCTTGTTTCTTAATTTTAGAAGTTCGTAATTTTTGCTTCGTAATGCATGGATTAAAAGTGTGCGCCCTGCAAAATTTACATTCAAAATGAGATCACAGATTACTGCGCTTAAATAAAAAACTTCAGTTGCATTCCTTTAAAAAATGTGAAAATGATCTACTGTTTCAAAACTCCCCGAAAACTACACCGTACAGACGAAAGTAATTAAAACTCCATTAACATAACATGGCTAATGGCTATGTGAGTATATGTTTCCCCAAATTATTTTTGTTGTATATTTGCAGAATTTTTAATGTCTAACAAATCTTCACATCCGAGTAACTTTGATGATTGATGATTATGATCGCAGTTTTAAAACGCGTAAAAAAGAACAAGACACCACGAAGGCTCCAGTTTCTGTGTGTGCAGTCACAGCTCAGACAGCCATCTCTACTCAGCAACCTTAGCCATCCATGTGTGTCGCTGAAACAGATGGAATGAGCCCGAAGTGTGACTGGCTGAAGAAAAAGAAAATAGAATGCTGCTTGAAACAGGATATGTCTAGAAACAGTATGAATTTGGCAGAACGAAATATAAAATAGGAAGTGGTTTGAAGGTACACGAGTAAAAAAATTAACAAAAACAAAAAACAGGATGGATGTACCGTTGAATTGAACGTTGGTAGGCAACTTTGGAATGTGAAAATTACGAAAGCAATAATGAACTGTACGGTTAATTGTTTGCGCGGATCGGCAGCTGGGGTGACTCTTAGAAGAGCGGTGTCGAAATACAGATGTTAGGCGTGAAGACAGCGCGAACGCGCGGGCGGGGCGGGGCGGCGGTTGGCGGGACGGCGAGGTGCGAGGGGAAGGCAAGGGTGGGAAGGGGAGAGCAGAGGGCGCAGTGGGCGTGACAAAGGCTGCGTCACGGCGAGG